CATGTGAACTGAATATCGTTCAAGAGGGCGCTTATGGTGGGAGTATCCCTGAAACTTCCACCTCGATTGCTGATCACCTCTTTTTGTGGCAACTAAATGGTGCAAATGAATTCATTATTTCTTGATAGATGTTTTCGATCATTAATCGATAATTTTGTTTTTGGTTTCCCCCGCTCTTCTGCATGCATTCTATCTCCCTCTTTCTCATCTAATATTCCCTTATTTTGCAGTTGACAGTTGACGCACAAAGCTTCCTTTATTAATGACTTCTCGTTTATTTGAGCATTGTTTTCGTTTTCGTTTTCCTTTCGTTTTTATTTCTTCAAATTGATTTGTTTATTTTCCGTCTGAAATACAAAACCTTGAAAAATTATTAGCACCAACTATATTTGCCACATGCCTGTGTGGATGAGTGCCTGCTGATCAGCCGATCCCATCTTCATATACCGAGGTACACATGTGCACTCGCATACTAGCTTTTGAGCAAACAACTACGGATATATCTGTATATATATATTCAATGCAATAAAATGCATTTACGGAGGCTCCGCATACTCACACTCACAGGCATGAATGTTCGCGAAGTTTACCGAGAGTCAAGATCTCAAACCCAGTCGGAATTGTGCCAAGACACTGTTAGCGATTTTACTTTATGTAAAATATTGAGAATTCGCAACTTTACATCAGCGGTTATTTCGAAAGAACTTCGACTTTGACGTTTTTTTTTTTACGTAGAAACCTCTGTCAGCATAGATAGCCATGGAGCTTTGCTTTCACAGCAATGATTTGGATTACTTCAGTCTTGAGTTAAAGCGGCGAAGCTTTGAAAATAAGCAGAAGAGTATTAGATAAGTTTGACCATCTTAAAACCCGATAACTGAAGTTTCTTCCAGAAAAAAATCCTAAATGAAGCAACAAGAACAAGTTTTTGCCTCAATTTTCTTGCAGGTACAGTGCTACTACAGTAGAAACTTTTTGCAACTCATAGAGTATGTAGCTGCTCTGACTGGTTAACCATAAAGCCCTACTATTGTCGCGTCGCTCGTCTGACCTGCGCGAACAAATGTGTGCGTGTGTGCACAGTTGTTGAAACAGCATATTCTTGTTTCTGTATTCATCGCTGGCCGTAAGATTTCTTTCACTACTCCGTGCACACTTACACACTCTTTACATACATATGCCTGTACATTGCAAATATATGTATGCAGGCAACTGCTTTGCTGGTCGCATCTAGTTTGTTCCACGAGTGTTGGAGCGATAGTGTCTGGGTTTGTGGCACAGTGGCATTGGCAATGGCATTCCTGATGGCTAGAGTGGCTCTATGCGTACGACGCACAGACACGCCGCCTGACATTTGTACGCATTCGCCCCGCTCGTCCCTGCCCTTCCTTCCCCATGCACGTTCATGGTCACACAGTTGTTGCTGTCATTCATGTGAAAATTTACACTCCACTCTTTCTCTATTTCTATGTAGATAAGAGTTGTTGTGTACATAGTTTGTGCCATCCGCCGGTATATTTGCCGGCTATTCTGCTATTCTGGTGTCTCCTCCTTCCGCCTTTGCACCTATCTTTGTGCTGCCTCTTCTGCAATATTTACGACTCCATTCAGTGCAGCTATGCGTCTAGGCGTGACAGCGCAGTAGCAGTGCTGCAAACGTTGGCAGTGGCAGAGGATGTAGTTGCCGCCGTTGCAGCAGGAATGCAGAAAAATGTGTTAGTGGAGTAGTTGGCATTACGTCACCGCTTTTATGGCACACACTCATACAGTTATAGTTAAATGTATACAATATGTTTGCACGCGCGCTTGTCGTGTCGTCATATGGCCGGTCTGGGTCTGCTCTACTGCCACTGACACGGTTTTGGCCTCTGTCTTCATCTCGGTCTAGCTGGCAGACTCCAGCTGCGCACCTATGACTCTGCTCTTGGTGGAGTCCATGCTCTGTGCTCGTCTTGTAGCCCCTTTCGTAGTCAGGTTGTGCAGTAGTTGGATTGTCGTTGCTGCATCCCACTCCCTTCTGCCCCCACTTCAGCTCTGTTGCGCCGTCGTCATGTCATGTTGTTTGGTTTCCCGGCTGATTGTCTTGTCAGACAAGCTTTGCTGTGCCACGCTATGAGTTTATGTGCATGCTTAAGCTACTGTTGGCTGCCGTGTGTGTTACATTTAATGTTGCATGCAGCAACTGTAACGTAAACTAGTCGCACAAAACGCCAATTGACAGCGTGATTTTTATTTAAGTGGATTTTGCCGGCCCACAATTGCACTTACACCAACTTATTTGTGCACACCATGTGTAAACGTCAACGGACACTACATATTTACGCAACTGATAAAGTGAAAGTGTGTTGGAGGTGATTGCTGGCACCTCATCCAACTGCAGGGGAGTGCGCCCGGTTTGTTAGTCTCTTATCGGATGGTGCTGAGACGGATTATATACTCGTACATAGTAGCTCTTGTATGCTTATGTATATAAGTAAGTATTTGCTATGTCAGTCATTGTTAAATAGAATGGATATGGCTTGTACTTGAAAGCGAAAGTGATTGCAAGAACATTCACCGATTCACACCTCGTTCGAAAATAAACAAGTAGGTGTGTGTATATATAGCAATGCTATCTTTAATTTCAAAACTTAACTGAAGATTTGGCACTTTATGTAAAAGCAACAATAAATATCCAAAAATTTTCAAAAAAAAATAATAATTTTGGTAAATATTTTAGGGAACAGCTTGGATTAAAAGTTCACCAAACACCACAGACTAATCAATAAATTTTAGCAGTTTTAAAATATTCAGCTTTACATCTTGCTTTTCTCCATTTTAGTTTTATGCTCTTTTTACAATCAAATGCAATATGGCTGCTATAAGTACTTACCCTTTGTGTGATCCTGAGCTGGTTGAGGTTACCTTATGTGTGCGTTACGGTTGTGCTTAGATATACTATATATATTTTATGAGCTATGGCGTTAAAGATTTAACAAATCGCTTTTTCTCCTCAAGCGAAGGCAAAACAACAATAAATACTAACAAGAAGGACCTGAGCTGTTACGCTGTAAAGCAATAAAACAAAAACAAAAATACTGAAGAAGCCTTCAAGTGCTTCACACTGTCCAATTTACGTCCCGTCTCGCATTGCGCTTCCGGTTTGTAGAGTCACTTTTACGCGACAACCAATCGAATTTCACCTAACCGAAGATTAGGAATTTGAAGCGAAGCTGGATAAATTTCGGTGAAAAATATGTAACCCCGGCGTCAAGTGTCCACCTTCACTGGGCGTCGAAAGTCAGAAGCTTTCGTAAAACTACACTTGTTCGGTTATTTATCCTATGGTTCTTAATATTTATTTTTTAAACGAATTCCGGTGCAACACACACATTTTTCGCTTTTTTTGGTTTCCGTCGCCGATGTTGCTGCACGAAATAAATGTGTCGAACTGAGGAACAAAATTTACAGCGGACGAAGTTCGAGTCGAGTATCTGCAGCGCAACGCATCTACTGACTAACTGGCTGAGTACGCGGCTGGTCTTTCGCCTCCCTGACTAGATGCCGTACTGACTAACGGCGTTGGCTTTAAGTGGACACACGCACGCACGGATAAACGGACGAAACAACGAATGAGCATAATGAAGCGACGTCGCATGAAAGAAATAGCGAAGACCGTAAAACAGAAAAAGGGAGTGCGATCACCAATTGCGAAGTTAAATGTTGTAAAAAATCGCAAATGAAAAGTGAAAACCAAATTGATAATAAAAAGTGGCAGAAGCAAACAGAATGAGACAAGAAAGTCTCAGGGAAGTGGAAATAAAGAAGAAGTGCGAAATGTTGAAAAAAACATACGAAAAGCCACAGAAATGCGCTGCGGATGGGGGTAGGGATGACTCAAATGTCCTTCTATACACATACACACACACACACTCTCATACCCATTTGTGCGCAAATATGTGCAGGCCGGCAGTAAAGATCATGAAGCACTGCACAAGCTTTCAGCTGCAGTCACAACGCTGCGACGTGGATCGGCACACTGGAGTCGTAAGATCGGGAGGGCGTGTGAAGTAGTGATATGCTGAGCTGAGGCTTACGAAACGGACGGATGAATAAAGATATGTGCGTGATGAAATCTAGGCACAAAGGGAAGATGATAAGACTAAAGTTTCCAACCGAACGCATTAGCGAGAACCTTTCGCACGTCAGAGGCTTTGAAGTCGTTGCTGTAAAAAGTGGAAGGGTGGCTGCTGAATTAGTCGATTAATGCATCAGAATTCGCTGCTGTCTATTACATCCCTATATACACACACATATGTTTATGTTAAAAAAATTGCACGTATTGGTTTTTTATATTATATGAAGTCATTTGTGGAATTCCCAACCACTGATTGGTTTAGCGGTTTTTTAAAGAGTAACTTGAAAAATGCGATTCCAAGATAACAGCTTACATTAATTTAATGCAAGCAGCAACGGCGAAATATTTAATTTTTGGAAACATGTCGCTCAATTAGTATGAACCCGCTTTCGGCATCTCGAAAATTCGGAAACTCTGCAACGAAATACCGAATGCGCCTAATTCGATTGAAGAATCAGGATTAGTGAGCTGAGTGGGCGGCTATTTTTGGTAGATCAACCATTTAGGCCTCACAATATTTTGGTGTGAGAAGGAGGCATGGAAAAGCTGCACATGAAAGCAGTAAAGTGTATGAGGTAGACTTTAGGAAAACAACCTAGATTCGAGTTATGCAGGCTTTGTCACTTTTTCCATTTCGTGTTTGATTATTCAATACTGAATTATTATTTAGATATTTTTAGCGTCTTTGCTTCTATTTGCACTTATTGAGACTGATTTGTTCAAGTCCTTAACTAACGATTACGTTATTAAACACCTTATTTAGTGTAAAATAAATTTATTCACTTTTTTTTCGATTGTAAGACATAAATAATAATTATATTCCATTTTCAATTGAATGGTGTTCACATTGAAATCGTTGATATTGTAAAGGGTATATACTTACACTGAATATTTATGTGTTCCACTACGTAATGAGCAGAATTTTGTTGAAAGATTTTGGCAATTTATGTTCCATTTTTTAAAATTCAAGTTCTCTTTGGCCGAGCATAAATGTTTCTGGGCTCACTTATTTTTATATAATTTTTTTTGGAAATGTTCAGTTTCACTATTTATTTATTTATTTATTTTTTTAATTCACTTGATTTGCCGTTCAAAGTTTCTATCCTTCTGCTTCGGTCTTAGTTGAGTTCAATTCTTGCTGTTTCACTGACGATTGTCTAATATTGATTCATATAACCGTTATATCATTAGATCACAATTGTTTCAGGTATTTGATTTTTTCGGGAGTGTTTGTTTTGCTTTTCCGAATTCCTTCCGTTTTGTTGCACGTCTAAATTTGTTTTGAGGCGAAAAAGTATTCCGTTTCTTGCGTAGAATTTTATATCCGCAAGTCTACTTGCGTGCGCTCAGTTAGCCAGCAAGCTAAGCGTCAAGCGTATCAGTACTTAAGCGTGTATGTATCTAAGTATATAGCCTTGTGCGCTTGTGTTGGTGAACACTGTAGGACTGCGCGTATGCTTGTAATTTACGTTCGGCCTGGGCGCACTAAACTGACGCGAATGCGTTTAGCTCACTAACTTTTTAGTTACAGAACCTTTACTGTGCGCTGATCGAATTAAAAAACTCAACTGAATTCGCAAAAAGCGCAGTCAGCCTGTCCAATTGATTCGGAGAGTTGCCTGCTTTTCGTCGCTGTCGCATAGACGGTCGCTGACGCCGTCGCCGTCGCCTTAGCCACTGCCCGCCTTCATTTCTGCTGCCGCTGCTGCCATTGCAGTTATGTGTGAGTGTTACAGCTGTTATTGCTGTAATTGTTGTTATTGTTGTTGTTGCGTATTCCAACATTTTTTTTAACGAATTAGCGAATTTTTGTTTTGATATTATTTACTTGTGTATGTGTGTTCTTGAGGTTTGGCAGTCTACGACGGAGACGCGTGTGTGCAAAAAAAATCGGTTAACGCTCTCGACGTTAGGGAAAATAGCTTCGGACACCGCGAGGAAAGTACCCATCTCCACCGCAAGCGCCGCGAAGAAAAAGCAGCAAGAGTATCTAGACTACTTTCGACTAAATACAGTATGTAGGCCGGCTGAGATCGCGAGAGACCGCTTGAATTGCAGCATGTACACGTACACGCTTACACTCCAAGTTGCGCAGCGCGGGTGATTGCAGCTTTGCAACACTGCTCATGGCAGCGCTAATGCTGCATCACAATTACATCAAGATGTGGACATTTGATGAGACAATGTTTTCAAAATTCTCCGGTTCAGTTACCCAATTTCAAAATGTACCCCACATGTGAGCTACTACATCTCCAGGAATGCTAAATACATGCATATGTCTAATTCGCGATTGCGTATACCAATTTTTGTGGCTCCGCCCGTTTGTGACTTGAGCTTCGTTAAGTGCAGCGGCCAATTTTTGACTCAGGGAGAGTCGCGCTGCGAAAGCCCAAAATGATTTCCTTTTCCAACGCAGTCGACTTCATCAAATTCGGCGCTTTGATCGCTTGCATTGCTGAGTTGGCGATTTTGTAGTCACAACAATAGCCGCACAGTCTGACATTAACCCCTGCAGCGGCCGACGACATGACGGCGACGAAAGAGTTTGCTGCATGCTTCGGAGCGTCGCACCGGTCACACCTCGCCGCCTGCGTGTCGAGCTTTTGCAGTGAATGCGCCGAGGACTATATACTCGTGCTTGCAAATATGTACTGCAGTAAATAGCAACAAAGCAAACGTCACAAAAACGCACTCAGAAAAGTTATGGAAACCGAATGAGCTGCGAAGCAGAATGTAAAACGCATGCGAAGGCAGCATTTTTGGCAAAATGAACGATCTCATGCTTGCGCACATACAAATATGAGTACACATACGTTCACACAGAAGGCTGTACACGCACACATGTGTGTTGGCAGAGCAGATTCACACTCACCAAATGCCAGCGCTTACATGCCTACTAATCGGCTTGTGGGGCAACCCGGTGGCGTTGCGGGTAGACGGCAGCACATTTTCATACGTTTTGACACTTGCATTGCATGTGTGTATGTGTGCGATCGTTTAGGCCACTCGGCTGCACGACTACACACCAAGGGCGGCCGTAATTCGTAGGTTTTTCGGCTGCGATGCAGTGAAGCATAGCGTCGAGCATTTGATCTTGTGTTCCATGTGCTCATGAGCGGGAGAAGAACCAAAATTTGCTGTAATTTGTGCTGCAGCGATTCGCAGTAGAAGTTAGAAGGTGGACACTGACGTCAGGGTTGAGTTTGTAAAAGGCCGTTCATCTCCAGAGCTGAAATATTTTATAAAAGGGCAAAATATACGATGACTACGGATGCTCGAGAATTTGTTTCTGGACACCATCGTCTGTTTTTAATTAAGATCATAAAAAATATACTGAAATTTTCGCATTGCTCAGGATCAATTATAAAAGGCTCGCTCAATATTCGTATTATTTTGAGGAATATGTAATCACATCTGTGGTTGACTTGCTTGAGTCTATCAGTTAAAGATTAATGGTTTGGTTACTCCGAATATAGAATAATATGTAGTAAGATGAAACTTCAATCTCAACTGGCACAGTTATATAATTTGTACATTAATTTTTCAAGCAATTGCTCCGGTATTCGGAGATTTTTTCATGAACCGAAGCATGTAACTTTTAGGCAGGCATTGCCCTTAGTTTCTCGAGTTGTTGAACAGTGGGTGGGATAATTATTGAAAAGAATCAAACACATTGCGCAGGTGAAGGCGTGCGTGAATGTTCCAAGATCAATAACACCTTTGCTGCATTTGCCTACACTGCCGCCCCAGTGCCGAGTGATCGAGATTTTCGCGAATTCGCATTTCTTATTTCGGTTGATGTTTACACATTTCGGATCGGCTCTGGCTGATCGCGAGCATTGTTGTTGCTGCTGCTGCTGCTCCTAGCACTGCTGCTGTGACTGCTTACTGCTGGGAACCTTATAAACACTTAATTCACAAAATTTGTCTATAAAAATATTATTTTCGTTTGCGCCGAGGGTTCAACGACCGCACCAACTCGTGCGGTTCACAATGATTTCATGATTTCAATTTCACTTCTACACATTCCACATCTCGCACTGCCCCTGTTGCTTTTGTTTGTTGTTGCCGTCGTTGTCGTTGTTATTGCACTTATTTGTTATGTGTTCTTATTTTGCATTCATATCTATGTACGTACGTTGTTTTTGTAGCTGTTCGGTGCTACTTCATACTGGTTCGCAGTCAGCCACATGTGGCGTCAATTCGCTCAGCGGCTGTGAGCTATTCAGCGCTGCAATCATATCCCAGAAAAATGACAAATGATTGTTAATTGTCAAGTTAAATTGTTAGCAATGAAAGTATGCGCAAAGCGGCAACGCGAAGTACGGAGGGAAGCCGAGGCTGAACAGCTCACAGGTTCTACAAGTTGGCCAAATCGTCGTTAGGGCGTCAGTAGTCGTGAAATGTATTGAGGCAGCGTTGGGAGCAATGACCCCTAATCGGTCAACGGTGACGCATTCGATAATTTCGTCATGAAATTCCAAAATATACTAATGACAGTTTTCAGGTTACCTCAAACGATCGTTGAATCACTGATTGCATACGCAAATTGCGTCTAATGTACTCAAATGGTGTTTGTTCTTATAAATTCCATACGAGTTTTGTAGATATGAATATAAATGCATTAACTTTTTTATTTTATTCGGAATACCCAAAAATATTTTAATAAACGAAATGTATTTCTGAAGAACTAAAAGAAGCAATATTTTATTTAGATTTGTCCTACTGTTAAAAAATATATGGTATATGTTAGATACCCTACTAAACTCAGATTTACCATATGCATTATGTAAGCGCATCCTTCTGTACATAATATTTCCTTCTCTGATGACAGGGATTCTTGTACAGAAAGTCAGCGCTATTTAAATGTTTTTAGTAAATCTTGTTCCTTTTTACCGATTTTGTGTAAAAATAAATGTTCTTCGAGTTTTCTATTTGCAATTGAGTAAGGGTTTTTGGAATTTAAATTCTGGATACACCTTTGAAAATCCTTCTTTGTTCGGACGGTCGGATAACACCACTATAGCTCGCTTATTCAATCGGGCACGTTCGCGTTCTTTTTTCGGCATCAAACTATGTCTACAAATGCCAATTCTGGCTTCTTCTTTTATCGTGTGAGACCAACCAACCAACAAAAATTCTACTTAAAGATTAAGACGTACGTATAAACGGTACGAATATAATTTTTCAAAAATCTTGTGTACTTTTTGTTGGAACTCACCTATTTTCTCTGTCTTTGATTCATCAAGTTCTAGTCGGTTTGTCACTGAACATTATTTTTATACCCTGAACAGGGTATATTAAGTTTGCCACGAAGTTTGTAACACTCAGAAGGAAACGGCGGAGACCATATAAAGTATATATATAAATGATCACCGTGACGAGCTGAGTTGATTTAGCCATATGTCCAGTCAGTTTCTGAGATATCGATCTGAAATTTTGAACACGTCTTTTTCTTACCAAGAAGCTGCTCATTTGTCGGAACGGCCGATATCGGAAAACTATAGCATATAGCTGCCATACAAACTGAACAATCGGAATCAAGTGCTTGTATGGGAAACTCTTTCATTTGAAGAGGTATCTTCACGAAATTAAACACGAGTTATTGCTTAAGGCAACAAATTATTCTCCACAGAAATTGGTCAGATCAGATCACTATATCATATAGCTGCCATACAAATTGAACGTTCGGAATCAAGTGCTTGTAAGGGGCCTTTGTATTTGTGAAGGGTATTATAGCTTCGGCGCAACCGAAGTTAACGTTTTTTCTTGTTTTACTTGATTTTGAATTAAAAATTTTGAATTCTTACTCTTCCTGTCTCTTATGAAATGAATGGAAATCCATAGCTATGCCATATATGACATCCGCCTAGTATTTATATTAGAAAGAAATCGTTTTTTATAAATCAATAATTAAAAAAAAAGATATGAGATCTCTCATACATTTAATTCGATTTCGAGTTTTTCATAGTCTCTCCCATAGAAAAAGGAATACTTAAAAAAATTTTAAAGTCTATTACCATATATTAACTCATTCTTTGAACAATCATTTTGCAACATAATTTGTCAACACAGCTGTTTCGAAATTCCTGTTTTTTGATTCTCTCAGTGCAAAACAATTGGAAGATTTTTCTTGAAAATAATAAAACCTGTACAAACGAATTGCGTGGAATTTACCGGCTATTAATGTCTTCGCTGCAATTTTTTATTTAATTATTATGTTAATTTAAATACTTTCCATTTGTATTATATGTAAGATTCATATGCTCAATTGAAATTCTAATTTTTTTAATTCTGAGTAATATGTTTACTGCTGATTTTATTGCATCAGTCTCATTCACAAGGTTCTGGACATTTTTAAACAATACTATAAAATTAAATTTAACTCTATTACACTGGTTAAAATTTTTTGTAAATATTTGTTACGTGAAAACTCATAGCAAATTGTAAATGTAGAAGAGCCACTAAACAATAATATGTGAATGGAAAAATAAAATTGAAACGACAGGTTTTCTTGCGACATCAGAACATATATTTTCTAAACAGTACAAACATCGGCTACACTTAGAGAAAGTATTGCTTAATATAGAAAAAAACATTTATGAATTTGGCAAATATTTGGCTTCTGGAA